TTCCTCTTGTGAAAAACAAACCCACAGCATATGTGGGGGGTTTCAGTCTGATTCCAGGGATTTACTATTCTTTCTTTTTAATATCACCAAATTAGAATTCAGTATTCATTTTTGCAACAATTCAGTTGATGAAAAATACGCTTTGAAAGGCAATAATTTAACCACCAACAAAGACAGCCATAATGACGAGACTGTCTTTTATCCCTCTCAAAATGACAGATTAGATATTAATCCGGGTTGCTTTATGAATATGCCATTCATAAATCCATCCAACATGAGGATATTGTCTGAGCTGACTGAAAATAAGGAAAATGAGCTGTGAAAAGTCAAATGTATAGCACTATTAGTTCAATGGATTAACAAGTGGATTAGCATTTGCTGCACATTTCTTGTGTATTTTTCAAAAAGGCTTAACAGTCAGGATTATGTTTTCACTTGAACCTTTTTCTGTCAGAAAAACAAAACAAATCAATAAAGCTTGTTTTCCCATCCGAGGCTGTTATACAGTTCTGCCTGGATGGCGGCCTACCACAGTGCGTGCAGGCTTTCATCTCATCCCTGCCTTGTCTTTTCGCCATACCTTCCCTGTTGGTTATTTTTAATCTCCCTTCCCTTGGTCTCATCTGGGCCAGATGGAGTCTGCCCTGGAGCATGTGTTTGGGGCGAGGCTGCTCTCCTGGTTAGCCTCTCTCACTCGTGGAATGAGGCCTGTCAGAAGGCATCAGGGTGACTCATCTCAGGAGGATGTGTTCTAACACATCATTGCCCCAGACTTTTCTGCGAGGGTTGATCGTCCATGAACAATGTAGTTCCCATCGCAAGCTCACACTTGGCCAATTCGTCATCAACCCACGACTTTGTTGGACAGAAACAGGGAAAAGTACATTTAATTCATGAATGGAGGAATGTGTGTTCTCCCACAGGGATTGACACCAGTCATTTCTATCCTTTAGTTTATTTTTTGTTTATTGTTTTGCACACTATTAAACGCGCCCTAGTATGCTGTTTAGGGTTTTTACCTTTCCTTTACTGTTTTAATTGGGTTATCTATGTTATGTATAGTACATGTTATGTATAGGTTATGTATACGGTCTGCATGGTTCCCAAATTCCCTCTAGAGCGAGTTTCTCAGAAAACCCACTAGGCTTATTTGAAACAATGTTTTATAGAAACACACAATACATATATGTATATTATGAATTCAATAGTGTTGGCAAAGTATTAGAAAAACATATGATACAAAACAATCAAATAACATGACAAAAATGCATTTATCGAAAGTTAAATATGTTAAAAGAGTAGACAATAGATCTTCTGCAACTACGCTGCACGACCTTTCAGCCTACAGTATAGCTCAGACATTTCGTTTTATTTACACAGGGGAGGGGTTATCATGCTTCCATTTTCAGCACAGTCCCTGTTTTACAAACTAAAGTATCAGCTCTGCTTCATGTGGCCTCAGTGGGGCTTTGGCATTTTTGCTGCGCACCTGTGGCATTTGAGATAAATATTATGCCGGTTTCTGGGTTATCGTATTCCTCACCTATTGCGTTGACGAGATTTAGTGATTCAAACAGTCTTTGTGTCCCTTCATATTTGGGGCTGGAGCATAAAAGCCAGTGTTGACCCTTGTCATCCACTGCACATTTCAATGACGCTGTAACACATCAAATAAGGTTTGGTTTTGTTTCTTATGCATCTCCACTGAGTCTCTTCTAAAGAAATATACATTTGCATAACATACATTTGAACCTCCTCAAACAATAAACAAAAAGTAATAATTTACCTTACACAGTTTTGCATCAATGCCAAAACAAACATTCATATCTTACTGCAGGGGTGTCAAACTCAAGGCCCGGGGGCCAAATCCGGCCCGCCACTTCATTGTATGTGGCCCACAAGAGCTTGCAAAGAATATAATACGTTTATTATGAGGTTACGTGCCGCTTTACAGGAGCACGTTGCTCATAAACTACATGTCCCACAATGCATCACATTTTGTGAAGTGACTTACAATTACTTGCAATTATTTGCCCTGACTTACAATTACTTGCAATTATTTGCCCTGGACTTCTGCTTTCACACGTAGTTAATTATGAAGTTATTACCCTATCCAATTATAATCCAGTGCAGAGGTAATATTGTAAAATAATACATTATTTGATATATATTATATATATTTTATCTATGTATATTCATCTTGTCTTAAAGTTACAACCGGCCCTTTGAGTGCAAGTATAGTTCTAATGTGGCCCGCAATGAAATTGAGTTTGACACCCCTGCTCTAGAGTGCTATGTACATCTTATCATAATCTATTATTATTGTTGTTTTTACTTTGTTGTTGTGGGGATAAGAATTTCAACATGAATAAACTCAGAGCATTTCAAATCTTCCATATCACTCCGCTAAATATATGCTAATGCTATACATGATAAAGTTAGCATTCAGGTTGCTTTGATACAAGAACACCACTTGTTAGCACAGATGTAGCAACATGTGATACGTGTAATACCCCTCCATGTCACCAGGGGGCAGTATTTGCCTAGATTTGATGGATGCAGTAACAGCACTACAGTACGGGTCATGCTGACAGCAGCTGTTTATTTCGATGTGAGGACTTTGAAACGCTCACGAGAGCCTGTGTAGTCTCTGGAAATTGGCAGTATTTTAGTCAGTAAAAGCTAACTATTTTTAGACAACCGTTTGAATTATGCATGTGTTGCTGGCATAATGCATTTGTACTCTCCTTTGAGCACTGTACAAAGTCACAAAGAACAGTATTAAAGTATCTCTGATGCTGAGGGGTAAGCTGAATAGACTCATTATGCTGCTAAACTATTCAGAAGCAACCCCACTATTTATCTTCATTATTATAATTGCCTTTTCGCATTGACCTCCCTCAGCCCTTTTACCTGTAACTAGTTCATTCAGAATTAAATTACATCTCAACACATAGCCATTCAGATATTAATTGAATTTTAATAGGCCGACAATGAGGGTGGAAGCGGAGGGAAGTTGAGGGACGACGAGATAACAGCAGCAGCAGCAGCAGCTTGGGTCTTCAGAGGTTTAAATCCCTGAGCAACAAGCAACAGGATGCAGGTTATCTCACTCTGCCCCCCCCCCACATCTGCACTGACTGATGAGGGTGGTCATATGTTAATGAAAAAACATCCTCCCCCCCCGATTATGAGGTGGGTGGCAGGAGTCAAGGAGACGCTCATTTGGCTGTTTCATTAGCCTCCTCTTATCTCTCCCGCAGTATAAGAACGCCGGTGTGATCGAGCTGGAGGCGTGCGTGAAGGCGGTCCGGGTGCTCGCCATCCAGAAGAGAGCGAGGGAGGCTTCTGAGTTCCTGCAGAACGCCGTCTACATCAATCTGGGACAGGTACGCTATGGGGACCGGAAGAAAAATACTTTGACACAAACACTGGACGAATAATATGAGCTCAATGGCATACAGTCAAATAAAAAAAAACAGGGTTGGGAGGGTTCATTTAAAACATGTATTCTGTTACAATTACTAGTTACCTGTAAGAAATAATAATACACTTTATTTATATAATATTAATAGATTTATTTTGTAAGCGTTTTTATAGGTGCTCAAAGACACTTTACAGATATAGTAAAAAGAACAACAAATAAATATATATAGTTAAAGTCAAATTTAAAATCAAGCAATACAAAAACAATCACACATTAAAAGCCAGATTGAAGAGATACGTTTTTTTGAAGGTGGTGAGGTCAGTGCAGTCTCTGATGGGTTGTGGGAGTGAGTTCCAGAGGGAGGGGGCAGCGATGGAGAAGGCTCTGTCCCCCCAGGTCCGATGCTTGGTGCGGGTGGGGATGGATAGGAGGTTGGCTTCTGATGAGCGGAGGCAGCGGGAAGGGGTGTGGTGGGACAGCAGGTCTGTGAGGTAAGGGGGGGGGCCCCCTGGTTGTTTAGGGCTTTGTGAGCACCTTTCATGCAAGATGCAGCTCAAAGTGTTTACAGGGCAAGAAGAATAATCTCACTCGTCACCGCCTTGAGTTTCAAAACAGGATACATGTATTTATTATCCTTGCAAGAATGGAAGTAGTCATCACATATAGCATATGGTACTACTCTTGTAGGTAATCTTGCATCCTGTCATATACACTGTTATACACTAGGGCCTTTTTTAACATGTGTACTTCTGTCTTTGAAAGAGTACATTCAGTATTTCCCCAACAAAAAGCAAGGAACGTATTCAAAAATATTCAGAGTTAAATCCTAAAACCATAAAACATGAACAGTGATACCACTAACATTACCCCACATTAAAGAGATGGATCTCTGATTTATCCACGGGGTCTTAAAAAGTATTCAAAGTTGATAAATCAATTTAGCGAAAATGAAGGCTATTAAAAGTATTAAAGGGCATTTTCCAAGGTATTCCATTTAGTAGCTTGTTTTCAATAAGTATATAAATTATGAGACTGCCAAGGCACACNATGCTTTTCCCTCTAGAGCAGGGGTGTCAAACTCGAGGCCTGGGGGCCAAATCCGGCCCGCCACTTCATTGTATGTGGCCCACAAGAGCTTGCAAAGAATATAAATTCTTTGCAAGCTCTTGTGGGCCACATACAATGAAGTGGCGGGCCGGATTTGGCCCCCAGGCCTCGAGTTTGACACCCCTGCTCTAGAGGGAAAAGCATTAAAAGGGCTTTTAAAATATTAAGGCAGAGGCAAACACCTGTATTAACTGAAAGCTCCATAAAAAATACATTTGTATAACCAAAGGGTGATGCGTCAATTTAAAAACCTAAATTAAAGCTTCAAATGTAACATTTAGGACATTCACTAAAACCCTGATACCTTTGCTTGGTTTGAATTAGCCAGATATTATCAGTAAGTATATACGATACGAAAATACTTGAATGGTCAGATCAAGTGTGACATTTGACTTGAATCCCAGCAGCTCTGTGTGTAACATCATATCATATATCATCTAAAAAGAAGTGTAGTCTTTTGGGCGTTACCTTCCCATAGTAGGAGATGGCCTCCTTGTATTTCTCGATGATGTCCTCGGCACTCAAGCAGTTCTTGGCTCGTCCGATCTCAGTGCTCGTGTCCGCACTGATGCCATTCGCTGTGAGGGCGCCTGCGCTCAGAAAGAGGAGAAAGTGTACGATAAGTTCAGAGAAAAAAGTTAAAGGTAAACCGGAAGGAGGGGAAACTTTAATCCACCACATGGCATGCGTATAACACACTCAGCGGCCACTTTACTGTGTACTCCTGGGCAACTTAAATGCAACAACTCTACAATAAACGTTAGCTTGACAAAATGTTTAATTCTCCATTTTAAAATCGACCAAATGGGTTTATTATAAGCATATCTTTTAGGTTGGGGTTCGCAGTGGTGTTGTAATGGACTACATTATTTTGAGAGGTGTTTTTTTATTATTTGTCCTCCCTTTGTATATACACCAGGGGGGCATAACATTAGAAACACCTCTAATAACATGTAATCCAGTTTATACCCACCACTATCTACGATCTCAATGATTAACATATAATAACCCCTTTATGACAATGTCAAAAATGTAATATTAGTGTCATTTCTTATATAGGTTTGAACTAAATTATTCAGGTGTAGCTAATAAACTGGCCACTGAGTGCATGTATATATCAAAAAAGATGCAGATACAATGTTTTTCACAGGAATATGATTGTAGATTTGGATATCTTTGAGCTCTACCAAGGCTACACATTTAAAAAAAACAACATTTAGACATACAATAAAGCAAATACAACTCAGCACACAGGATTGGGTTTGTTTACATATCTGACCTAATAACAGATAATGTTAAATGAAAATGTGTTTATGTTGTTTTAATTGTTTTTAAATTGTTTTTAATTGTTTCTATTGTTTTTGTTTCACCCTTTTTAATTTTGTAGCACTTTGAGTTTTGTTTACGCAAATGAAAAGTGCGCTTATACATAAAATATATTATTATTATTATTATTATTATAACCCTGCTCTGACGCCCACTAAAGATCCACTTTCAAATTGGATGTTAGATATACTAACCCAAATAACCCTTACAGAAGTAATATGAGTATTTTAAGTCTCTTATATGTAATTGTGTTTATGCCTAACATTCTGTAAAGAGTTCAACTCGCACCCGTTTTGTTTTTTTAAAAAGCAATGTCAACGCGCATCTCTTCCAAATTCCAATAAAAAAATATATACTTAATTGCATCACTTAACAACGGGGTTGTGTCCATAGCAACACTGTCGCACTGTCAATATGACAAACATGTGTATAATGCGATGGACCTCATAGTAGGCCAATTTGCTACACAAAAAAACAAAAACACTTGAGGAAATAATTGATGCGTTGTAGAAAATAAATAATGTGACTTATTTGTCTTAGGATGTAAGAATGAGAGGTTGAGTTACAGTGATTCAAAAGGTTTAATATGCTGGGATTGTATTTAAATAAGGTTACGTGTTTGTGTTTAATAAGAGGGAATTTGTATAAAATGAAATTAGGAATAAAAACTTAAATCGTGTAATACTGAAAAGTTGGCTGTGAGAAAGAGCAGGTACATTAGGTAAACTAACACAGGGGAACACTACCTGAGGGGAAAAACAATCATCAACATTCAAAGTAAAAAATAAAACCATAGGAGTCAGGAAGCTGATGATGGAGGATGAGAAATGAAATCACATGACTGCAAGCAAACAGTCCTTTCTACAGGAGGTTAGATACTGTACCTGGGTCAATGAGAACCTCCTGAGCCCCTACAGACAGAGAGAGAAATGCAGATTCACTCCATGACGCAAGGCGCAGTTAGCAGGGTTAGTCCCAACAACATGCTGCTGATCAACTCTAAAATACACTTACAATAAGATATGAATGAGATATGCTCTTGGCATGCAACGGACTCCACGATTTAAAGGTCACCTATTGTGCAAAATCCACTTTTTCCTCTCTTTTCTACATCAACAGACAGAGAATCAGCACTTTGGAAAACAGGGCTGAAACAGAGGGGATTATGGGTAAGGCTGCAATGATCTGTTTGGTGTTTTAGCCAATCAGAGACAGGCTCTGTATATATCTGAGACCTGGAATATATTGATGAAAAACAGTATAATAGGGGACCTTTAAATCTATTAAAACGGTGTATAACTATAAAACATATGACTTACATAAGTAAGAAAAACAATAACCTGTGGAGCAGATTAGTCATTTATTCTTATAGCCTATCACTGACTTTGCCCGATTACGATGGCCAGACAGGCAAACAATTACATGAAATCATTGGGAATCGACGATCGGGCTCGATATATGGTTAAATATAGCAGTAGGCGATCGATGTCCATAGATGAGAGTAACACCTACGTCACTTTACGGCCCCGCCCACTTTTGGGGGAAACCAACGCTGTCATTTGAATGGCGATCGAGTCTGAAGCCACAGAGCTCCTTTGTTCTTAGAGGAAGCCAGAAACACTGAACTCTGGATTTGTTTTAATGTTTGAGGTGCAATAAACGACACAGCAGCTTGTTGGCATGATGAAACTATTATTTTACGCCTCGCTCATGAGAGTAACAGCCGGAGAAAGTTACAGCCTCGCCTACTGCTTTAATTTAACCATATATCGAGCACGATCGTCGATTTCATGTAATGTTTGCTGGCCATCGTAATCGGGCTCTTTGAAGATCCAAAAATCCACGCTTTTCAAACATTTCTGATCGGATTGGCAAAAACTTCAGAATTTGTATTGACCGCCATTCAAATGACAGCGTTGTTTTCCCCAAAAAGTGGGCGGGGCCGTAATTTTCGCCCGGAAGTGATGTAGGTGTCATCTATACATATAATAATAATAATAATAATAATAATAATAATACTACATGGGATTTGTATAGCACTTTTCCTAATGCTCAAAGACGCTTTACATAAAATGATGGTCTTAAATCTATATATGAATGTACAGAAGATTGGTGGTAATCAAGCCTAGTTTACTCTTTGGCTAACGTTAGTTAAACAAAGCTAACTTAGGCTGCATTGGTTGAGCAAAGCGAGTAGTGCAAAGCTTTCTATACAAAATAAGCAAGATGACCAACATGACCAATCAAGACATGTTTACTAATGTGTAAACTACGCAATAAACACTGCAGTAATACGTAAATAAATACGTAAATAAGTTGCTATCAATGCTTGTACTCCAACTTCTGATTGTTTGGTTAAGCACAAGGCAGTGTTAATACAACAGCATGTTAATAGCATGTTAATTACACAAGTAGAGACAGATTCAATGATGTTGAGTTTGAATTAAATTGGTCATCATCATCAGTGTAAGTAAGAGAAGCTTCAGGTTTCAGTTTAGGAAGCTGCCGGTTTTCTTCTCTGCACATGAAGGACAAAGCTTAGCTTAGCAAAGCTTGGCAGTGTTTGAGTTGCCAGTCAGCAACGACACTCAATTACAATTCAGACAGTAAAAGCCTTATGTCATTATAATAATCCATCCAGAGCACAGTTTGATTCTCGGCAGTGCTCACCTGGTCGGTGGCGTTTCCCGCTGTCAGCCGGCTGAGAGATGCTCGGCTTGCGTCCCGCTTTCTTCCCCGCCGTGCCTCCTGGGTAATGGAATATGACCGAGGCTGAACACAAACCCTCCAACGCGGCTACGAGGGAACAGGAAGTAAAACAGAAAAGAAAAAAGAGTTTCTACTATCAAGACTTTAACAACATTTTACAGTTTCTTGACCAGAGACAGGGTATATGCAGGAACCCTGAAGTCAGTCTTTTAAGACCCTTTCCATATATTTTAAGACCTCATCGCCACTTCAAGTTTTAACCGGTTACATTGATGATGAGATGGATACAAAAGAAGATTAAGGAGCCGGGGGTAGTGTTTAGTTCAGAGGGAAAACTAAATATAACAATATGATAGTTTCTTTACTCTAAATATTACCTCACTGGGCTCGACAATGTATTTATATTTGATCTAAAATGGCAATTCAACGCCATCGTAGGTACTGTATTGACCCAAAAATGCCAGTATCGCATTTCAAGGAGATGTAAGCTAACACCAGAGAAGGCAAAAGTACACTCAAGTAGAAGTACAGATACTCGTGTTTAAAAATACTCTGGTGAAAGTAGAAGTACAGACTAAACTTCTTTACTCAAGTAAAAGTAAAGAGGCTTTGAAATGTACTTCAGTAAAAAGTACCCATAACTAGCAGCTGTTTTAAAGAGTACCTGACCTCCCTTTATATTAATAGAACAATAATGTCATTGTTAGCTAATGAATGTTTCCATGCTGGAACAACGGCAACATCACAACGCCTGTTTTCATTGGTCCCTCTTCTTTTAGAGAAAGACCAGGAAATGATGGATTACACGGATCGTGTTCAATCAATAGGCACGCAATGACTCTAACATAATAATGATCACGCCACCAAACACACATTCAAACTAAAGGAACCAGCCTGTTTGGGGAAAATGTGAGAGTAGGAATTACAGGTATATTGTGTTTCAACATGTAAGAAGTAGAAATACAGGTATTTGTGTTTCAACATGTAAGAAGTAGAAAGTAAGGTATTTGTGTTTCCAAAATATAAGAAGTAGAAAGTACAGGTATTTGGCGTTCAAATTGTGAAGAAGTAGAAAGTTAGGGATGTAACGATATACCGAATATCGCGGTAAATAAACTTCCCAATACCGTCCGTGAGCTGACAAAATCTACCGCGATTTTAAAAGAAAATTAATTTAAAAGATAATTTT